GTAGGCCACCGAAAAGGTGACCCACTCTTCAGTTAAACTCCATTATTACACTGAAGCGTCAGGGTCTACATCAAGAAGAGTGATCGCGTGATAAAAACGGTTACATATAACGTTTGAAATTTAAATTTTTAAGAAATTTTAGAATGAAAAGCGCGCTCTTGCTCTCAATCGCCTACAACTCTTATACGAAACCTAAGTCGCACAAAAGCTCGCGCTACAATCTCTGGCTTTCACATGTCCGATTGTACCTTAGAATGAACTTGCGTCGATGTCTGCATGTAGAGACAAGTTCGTTGCACTTGTTCAGTGTTGCCATGTGAGGCCTACAGATTAAAAAGAACTTCTCTGTTGTACATAGATTGCAACGTTTTGTGAGGTTGGTGTAAGATTTTGCTTTGGCGAGTATTTTCCACGTGATGTTGGATTCCTTATTTGCCTCCTTTAGTTGCCACAGGTGCTTGCTCAGCTCAGTCTCATTCCTTCTCTTTTCATGTCTAAATGACAGCAGGTGGTTTCTGTATCTCGCCTTGAACTGAGTAGCTGTGAGACTGATGTATGTCTCTTTTTCGTCTCCGGTTGTGACTGTGGCTTGGTACACGACTTCACTCACCAGGCATTCTCCGTTTAGCGGGCAGTCTTCTTTTTTCCTACAGCTACATGTCTTCTCTTCGTTTTTCTTTGGCTGCGCTGTTTCTGCTATCTTCAGGATAGCTTTGTTGTGGCCATCTATTATTTGCTTGACATTGGGCATGCAGCTGTAGCTGAGCTTTATGGTGTTCCTGTTGAAAATTTTCCTCAGTTTGTGGCCCGCTGGGAAAGATCTTTCAATGAGGCTGATGAACGCACGTCCAATGTTGGTTTTGACGCTTTTGTTATATGGTGGATTAAACCATATAACATTTCTTTGTCGTTTGCATTTCTGTGATGGCGGTTGCTGTGTATATATATAACACAGTCTGTATGCAATAATACAAATGTACTCTAAACACTATAGCATGGTTACATAAAACTTTACCATAGGTTTGATTGTAACAGAATCAGATTAAAATAGTATAGTATTTTGCTTAACGAAGCTTCCAAGAATACTGTTTTTGGACATTAAACACCAGATCATTTAAAAATTCAGCTTTATTTCTTGAACAAAAGTTAAGAACCTAATTAAGAACCTAGTTACCCTAATTTTACACTAAATACCATTTATTTAAAAACCTGTTTAGGCTAACTTGGAAAAACCTAGGTTCTTATACGCGGGTTTTTACTGTAGTAAATAGTGTATAATAGTGTAGTACAATATATCGTTAGCGTTATGATGGTATGTTTAATGCTAATGCACAATGTTATCAGAATATATCACAAGTCTTGCTGACGTCAGCTTTCATATTGTGGCCTACATGTACACGCGGTTTCGGTATTCGGGAAAAAATCAGATGCGTTTTGCAGTTTTTTGGCGTATTTCTGTGCAGTTTTGCGGTTTTCGGCCCCCCCTTACGCCCCCCTCTAGAAACTTGAACAAGTTTGAGCATAAAGCTGCCGTAGTATTGAAATGAAACCGGGAACTGAAGTGGCTACCCATTAGAGGACAATAACTTGTACTTTATGGCTTAGACCCTGTTTACACTGGCCTGGACAAATTTTGGAATGGACCTGTGCAACCCATTCACCAAAACTGTGCAAATTCTGTTGCAGATTGCAATGCTGTTTGCCATTCAAAAACTTGGAAGGTTCCATCCATAGGTCCCTTGTAAATGGAACGTGGATCCGAGCATGTTTTTTTTCTGTTGAAGAATTTTGTCTGGATCCATGTAAATGGGGTCTTAGTCAATATTTCAGACCTTCCAATTCTCACAGTTTGATTGGGGACTCAAGGTTTGAGCAGTCAACTCCTGGTCTCACAAGTTAGCCTCCAAATCTCATGTTGAATAAGAATGGCTTGTTCCAGGCTCTCAGATAGTGGGGAAGATGCGAAAGTAAAACTCAATTCAGCGGACCTGACTATCTCGGAGCCTGGAACAGGCTAAATAAAATGTCTTTAAAATGGACAAATTATTTTGGTGGAAAACCTGAGCCAATTCCAACCTCATTCTGGTAAAACATTGGTTTGCTAAGGTCTGTGGGAAAGCCTTATAGTATACTCACTTGGCTATATTCTTGCTGTCCTATCAACCTGAATAGTGAAACAGAATCTTCTCAACACTGCCAAAAGAGTAACAAAAGAGTGAAACAGAAGACCACTAATAGGGTAAAGAATACCATGACAAAAATAATCTGCCTTTTAGTTTTATTTGACACATCTCCAGGTTTGAGGTCCCAATCTCCAGGTTTTTGGGAACTTTTTTTCATACACTCCATATTTGCATGGTTAAGGGGTTGTAAGGTCTGATCATATTGTATACAGGTGATGACCTTAACTACCTACTCCTCCCTCCCCTCCTCAGACATTTGTGAACTTGTACTTTCCTGCAGTAAGTTGGGCCTTTACCATCAAAGTTTTGCCTGGTAGTGTGGCATTTATCTATTCTCCAAGCTGTGTAAGAATTTTTGTTTCATTTTCAGGCCTTGGCCTATTTAAAAGTACATGTAATTGACAGTATTTTGGAAGCCATCTGAGCATTTCAAAAATGCAAAGTTTTATCCTCACTTGTGCTTGCATAGCACATCCCACAACGTTCAACATTTCATTGAGAAAAGGAAGGTACAAACACAGAAATTGTTTTCATAGAGAGACCTATCAAGTCAGAACTAATGAATTTGGTGGTGAATTCCAAAGGTTGCTGCCTTAAATATAATTATTTTATTGTAAATGAATTTGCCACTTTTAAGAGAATTCAACATAAATTATGGTAGGTTGTGGTAAATTCTGTCTGTTTTTCACATTTCAAAATTAAGATGATTTAATAACCCAACGATCATTTCCAAGGAAAGTTGATTGGTTGACCTCCATGGTACTATTAATTTTGATTTAATCACCAACAAACTTTTTCAAATAGTGGTAAAAGCATATCATTTTGGAAAAAGAAAGACCTCTTTTGGGACTAGCATGCATGAAATTACCCTGTTCAGGATAGTGAAGACAAGACCTGGACTATACCTTGTGCAGCTGCATGTTCTGGACATGTACAGACCAGAAAGGGAAGTCCCCCCCCCCACCTCTCCTCCAAGGATAAACAAACCCTTTCACATATATCTTCAGTTGTCAACCCAATTTTCTGTGCATTTTGAATTACTTTGATTTATATAATGGTTGTGATTTCTTTTGTCCCAAATTTAACTTTTATTTTGTTTAGAAAAACAGAAAAGGCAAGAAAGACAACAGAAAAACAAAGATATACAGCACTGGATGGCAAGAGTGAGTATTTGTTACATTTTAATCTGGTCTGTAACTGGGAGCTAGTGAGCTTCACAGAGAGAGCAATCAGAAGATTCTGACTAGTTGTTTTTAAACTTTGAGTTAAGCTGTTCATTCAACAAACCATCGTATTAAAGCTCAGTTATTTTAAGGAATTAACATTCTAGCGAAAAATATATAATGATTAATAGTGTCAACAAATAATGATAACAAATTGAACAAATAATGAACAAAATTATTAGCGTTTTAAGTTGTCCAAAAAATGAAAAGAATAGCATGTGACTGAAAACATTGAAAGGTAAAAATACTGAGGAGAAAGTAAAGGATAAAATTAGCTAAAATTGGACAGCAAAAATGGAACATTCATAATGAAAAGTAACGTAGGTTGCAAATATAAAAGAAAATAAAGTGCAAATGAGGACTCTTGGCAAATGACAATGTGCTTTTTAGCCATCAAGGGACATCAATGAAGTGTGTTACTGTACACATATAATAATGTTGTTCTCAGTGCACTTCAAATCAAAAAAGGAGAACTTGGAGATTTTTTTTGAGGTGCAGCATGTGCCACTAAAGAATGTATATTATATTTGTGTAGGTGTTGAACTGTATCATCATATCATCTTTAACCCTTATAGAACCCTACCAGAGGAGTAAAAATGGCAACTGGATTAACAGATTGGCCTTCAGTGTATTCAGGAGCCAAGTCATATCACCCATCAGTTGTACCTATTTTCTTTAGAATGGGGCGATTGAAGCACAATAGACCTGGATTTGCTCTCCCTTTAAGAGCACTGGGAAACCTAGAGCTTATGAAGGTATGTTAAATTGCTTCACAATATATTTGTACTCTATGTCATTATTATCATTATGATTAATCGTCATCATTGTTGGTATGATGATGATGATGATGATGATGATGATGTTTACTAGTAATAGCCAAAGGTTACGGAGTGTGGGCGACAACGATCTAAGGTCAAACGCTTTTGCTACAATGCTGTGAGCGCTTTGCACAGGTTTCTCGTGACAGATGGTCAAAACACACATGATCAGGTAACGAGGGGGGTAGAAGGTTGAAACACGCGTGATCAACCTGCGTTCTGTGCATTCCATTCATTCTTAGTGGAAGTCGAAATGAATGCTGGCCACACTCATGCAACCCATGCGTAATTAAGGACCTGGAGATTAGGATTGCGGGCTCTTCATGTTGCCCACAATTATGATTATTATTATTATTGTTGTCATAATAAATTGTTATTATTAGCTAATTTAAAAGAAGTAAGTAACTGCAGTGTGATGAACATAAGAGGTACCATAAATTATTGGTGGATTTGGTCTGTGACTATTAATACTGTGCCACATTTGTTATTATTTGTCTTTAAAATATTTTCTTAAAAATGCAGTATTTACCAATTGAAAATTAACCTATTCAGCTGGTTAATTGATTGAGATTTGTTTTATGCATTCTCCATCTAGATACCCAACTTTTTTCACTTGAGTCCACCTGCCATTGAAAGGCATTGTCAAGCTTTACAGCGTAAGTTCCATAATTCTATCATTAATGATTTCAAAAAGCTTTTAATATAAAATCATTTTGAGAAGCATCACTCTTTGCTTGCAAGCTGTTGTCCAAGCAGGTATATCTCCTTAACCCTTAAGAACTTATTTCCCCTTCATATATTATATTTTAATTAAAGAAAAGACATGAAAATACAGTTGAACCTCCATGAAGTGGCCACCCATTATTTTGGTCAACATCTATTAAGTGGCCAGTAATCAAAGTGCTGAAATAATATTATAGAAAAGAATAATATGTTGAATTAAACCTTTATTACATGGCTACCTCCATTAAGTGACCACGGCTGCCTTTTGGCCACCCCAACGAGAGTTCTCCAATTGTTGTCACCTCTGGGCGGCCATCAAGTATTTGATACACTTAGTTGACTTTCTTATAATAGGTGATAAAAGGAAAATACAGTCCAAGATAGAAGGTGATGACTGATTGTAGACTAGTAATGCTGCTCCTGTTACGTGTTTTTAGTTTAATTAAGTGATGTTTCTGCTAAAGATCATGCTTATTGATGAACAACCTCTATTGAGCAGCCCACATTCATTGAGGTCATTAAGCGACCATTTTCTTGTTCCCCAAGGGTGGCCGCTCAATGGAGGATTTGACTGTAAAATCAAATTATCTCCAAAGATAACTTGAATGTTTTAGACTAATCCAGGGGAAATGTTTAGGGAGCAGCATGACCTAGGGGATGGCCCAAGCACAGTGACAGGGATGGGAGGAGGGGGTGGAGGGGGGTCTGGTGGAAGGTCTGAAGCAACACTTTGAGGCTGAAAGAGTTGAGACATCTCATCTTTTTCTTTTCAGCAAGTGAGGGAGACATCTCACTGTTTGAGTTCAATTCACTTAAGACGAATAGGTCCTTTGCAACTAGTCATTCACGGGGTACAAAACCACCATGCTGGAGAGCAACGGTTGCAGTGCGACAAGCCAACAAACACCATGTGAATGACAAGCTGCAAAGGGCCAGTTATGGAGGAGAAGCTTCTTCCTCACAGTCAGGCAACTGTTGCAAAATTGCATACTTTTCTTATTTTGTTTATTTGTAACTTCATCTGTTTTGCTGTCAATGTAGCACTTTGTACAGAATGGCCAGGTTCACTCGATCTTTCATCAGTTCCTCTACGAATCACAACAAGAAATTATCTATTTGCGGGGCCTTCACTTTACCACCCAGGATCAAGAAAAGTCAAACTTCAGGTGTTGTAAAATGTTGTAAAATTTTTGCAAAATGTTCAAACGAATGGCAGTTTTAAGGACTGCTTGTGTCAAAGTGATTGTCATCTTGTTGGTCCCAGTGTGGTTTTCGCTTTATCACCACCCTTCTCCACAGTTAAGGTTTTAAGTTAAGGAGTCAATACCCTCCCCTCATAATTGATTTACGTGACTAAAGTTAACGAAGAGATTGTTCGCCAAAGACAATGCATAGGTAGTTCAATCTTTCCAAAGGCGGCATGAATGTGTGATTGTAAAGTTAATAATATTAAAAGTACCGTTGTTGTTATATAAATGGTGAAAAATAAGATATTTATTGTTAAGTTTTGTATTTCCCTGTAAAATATAACATTTGCAGGTTATTTAGAGGAAAATGCAATTTTGTTGTTGTCCCAGGGTGGGGCATTTGCACACTTTTTTTTAGCCCCACCATGGGTTTTTGCAGCTTTTCCAAAAAAACAAAAATGATAATGACAAAAACCCGGGGATGGATGGGCACCCTTGGAATTGACTGAGCCTTAACACTATTCGATCTTTTACCTAGTTCCCTTGCGACCGCAACACTACACCTCCCCTTTTTTAGAGTGCGGCAGAAAGTCCTTGTAAACAGTGTCCCATGTAAACGTTTGAGCTTGCTCAGACCGTCGGGGTCCTGTCCGCTTGCCTGTACTTCTGCTTCCGGCAAAACTGGAGATGGGTCGTCGGTTGCGTTGCAGGGGTACAGATCCGACGTTTTGCTTTCCTTTTTTTGAGTTTCACTTTTTGTTCTGCCATAAAAGGGTGTGGTCTTCAATCACTATCGAGCTTGTGAAACATTTCTTCTTTTTTTAGGCTGCGTAATCTTTTATCTACGTTTTCTTTGACGCGTCTTTCTCTTTTCAAGTGACTGATTCTAGCCATGGACCATTAGAATGCAAGGATTTTTGCATCGTGTTTCAGTTGTTGTTGTGTCTTTTTTATGCTTTTAGGACATCTTATGTATGTTTTTGAAAGTAAAAAGTTAAAGCAGCCTGTATGACAGGCGTTCGAAAGCAAGTGAACACCTCTAATTATTGTGCTATAACTGTAACATGGTTAGAAAGAAGCCAGGACGTGACTTCCTATTTGCGCCACCCACTTAGATTAGCCGCCCATGCCTGCTATTTGCAGGTAGAGAGCTATGTAAATTTTCGTTTTTGATGTTAAAATGTTGAAATAAATCAAACCTGATCTGTAAACTTCATAATTACAGGTTTATTTAACAGATTTGGTTTTGGATGAGCATGCAAAGAAGAAGTTAATACAACTTGTGGGTCCTCGTTACAATCCCGAAAATGATGAGCTCACCATTGTGGCAGACAGGTACATTTAGTTGTACAAAGTAACCGCTGTTTAGTGGTTCATTCAGACATGAAAACAATAGTATTATAACACCTTGTAGCTCAACCTCTCTTTCTCGTTTAAAGAATTAGACCATCTGTAAAGTAGCCATTATAAAACCTAAGAGTTAACCACATGTCTTTTGAGTTAGCAGGTGACTGACATCTCACGTAACACCCACCACGTAACTGTATAGCCTTGAGGTAGACTCATTTCCAGTAGTTTCCAGGGTCAAATTGGATGAAAACACACTGAACACAGTGCAGGACTTAAATGGCCGTCAGCCTTCCCAAAATCTCCCACGACCCCAATTTTTTCCCAGGATTTTATGTCTGTAGTTTACTTATACTATTGAGTTACCTCTAAGGGACATGTACGGCATATTTATTTGTTGATGTTAAACAGATTATTCATTTAGCATCGGGAGACAACAATGCTGTAACTCTGTAGCTACATGTAATTCTTAAACGAAACAACTTCAGAGCGATCTAATCCAGCTTTTTTTTTGCTGAGAATTCACTAGATGCATATAACAGGCGTACATTGCAAAGAGTTGGTGTAATATTTTGTAAAGTGTGATGATTTTTATAATCACACTTTTTCTATGCTAGGCGTATAGCCACTCCTGTCCTAAGGGACAGATATATTGCAGCAGTAACTTAAAACTCGATAGGGCTTTGCCTCAGGCATCCCATTAATTACCCTGCTTGGCAAAAACAGTGTCTGGTCGTTTCATCTTCGCTCTTTCCCTAACGTAAACTCATATCTGTCATATGTACCGGGTAACTTATGTCTCTTAGAGTGTGTCATTGAGAGAAAGGAATTTTCAACCAGTTTTCTATTATTTCGTTTTAGATGCCCTACACGGAAACAGAACAAAGATTATGCTATGTACTTGCTGACGGTGCTTTATCACGAGTCTTGGGTTAGTATTATTAATGTGAAGAGAGTATGTTTACTGAACTCTGAACTCACACCGGCCAACATCCACACGACTGTTACTCAACCCAATTACTACAGCTTGTATTTTCTTGGGGCATGGCTACTTTCCTCTTTATAAGGTACTACTTGTCCGTCACAGAATCGCTCCAACCTTTATGTAGCCAGTAGCCATTTATACACATCCTAGGTGGACAGCGAGTGTGGAACAAAGTATCTTGACCAGTGCTATAAAGAAAACAATATGAAACCCCAGTATTATATTGCTAGTACCCACTTCATACACCTTTGACAAAGTAATGGACTTGGTGAAGATAGACAAGAGCATAGAAATCCCCATAGAGTTGGTTGGAACCTTCTTGTACAACAGTCCCTGTCTCTCATGGTCTCTATTACTTTCTACTTACAGAAAACCGAGCCATGGGAGACTGAGAAGAGTAACGATGTAGAGGAAAGCGAGGAGGAAGAAGAAGAAGAAAAAGCAAGGAAGAAAAGAAAAAATCCGAAACGTGTTCGACTGATTGATGGCACTCTGTATAGGATGAACCAGTATGGCAAATATTTTAAGATGCAATTAAAAGTGAAAGAATGAACCAAGGTCCAGTACAAGCCTTATGATTTGAAGTCAGTTTGTGTTGTCACGAGACCAGCATATCTGATACAACGACTAGTCAATTTTACCTATTGTAAGTCATTCCTTATTGGTGCGGTGAGTGATGCTGAATCACCTTACCTAACAGAGCTTCTCTATTCCCAGAGGATTTATCAAAGCAAAGGAAAAACTAGTTTTATCTGAATCGTCTGAATCAACAATCTGTGAAGATATAACGGAGGATTTCAATAAATTTCTCAAGTTCATATGAATATCGTACATGTAACCAGTCGACTCGTGCAACATTTATATTCAACCCCTTTTTTTTTCTCTCACAACCCAAAACCTACAGACGAAAACTCATGATTCCCTTCACCTGAAATCATCTTTTGCTCCTTTCTACATAATTTATGAACATGTTATAGGAAAAGTATGGAATCGATATCGGATACACCGTCACTCTAGTTTGGGTGTCTTAAATTAATTAATTCCTGAACAGATCCGGTTTTTTGGATAAGTTGCCCCACTTCTCCTGCGCCCTGGGTCTCGAAACAGAAATATCGTCTCTTGTCTGTTTGCGGCTCAATTTCATTGCAGGGTGGATCCCCCGCCGCGATTTGGAATCACTTTGACTGGTAATGGCAACATCATATTCAAGTTGACAATTTCTCAAATTAGACGATGAACAGATGAAAAGTATTTGAAAATTATTATGGGTGATACTAACATGAAGAAACTTATTTTCTTGAGATAGGTTAAACCGTGCTGGGCAGGTTCCGTGGGAGATGCTGAACTACTGACTGCACCTGACTTTGAGGTTGGGGGTGGGTGAAGGGTTGATTATCCCTGCCCGTAAAAACACTTTTATTACTAAAATCAAAGAGAAACACTTCAGAAACACAGAGAAGAAATCTGGTCATGTGGCTTTCTCCCCTGTGTAACCTTCTTTGTGTCATAGGGAGGGAAAGAAAGTACGTGGGCGTACCTCGCGCTTAGTAATTTCAATTTTTTACTCGTGGATACCCAAAAGGAATCTCACGAGTTATTAGGGTGGGTTTCAATATGCAAGTGTGTCACCTAATCAGGTGTAGACCATCTTCGGCTCGCTCATGAAAACGACATGTTGACGTTGTTACCGAATAAACTATGGGCAACTTTGGGATTGCATTCAGTCACGCCAACTCGTGGGAGAATCCTGGAACGAAGTTGTCACGCTCACGTTCGCTGCGGAAGCATTAACAATCGTTGTTGATTCTATCAGTTTTGTACGTCGTGTATATTATATACTCTACGCTACGAGTATCTCCAATCGTAAGCACAGCTGGAAGGGTCTAAATTTTCAGTAGCATGAAGAACCTTTTCTCTAGTAGGACTTGATAGATTGTGCTCGCAAAATGTTGCCAGCAGTGCTCGTATATTTCTAAAATCATGTCAATAATTATGGTAGGTAATTTTAAAATATGCTCATTTTGGCAAAAATTGCATAAATCTTGCTTTTATTTTTCAGTTGAGCTTGCTTTAGCAGCGAGATTCTACAAATGTAAGCGTTTCTTTTTTCTTTTCCTTTTTTTATGTGTGTTCGCCAAAAGGGGTAGTCATGGTCCCAGGCGTTCCTAGCGGAGACCATGGAAACTGGGGATAAATTTCGAGACGTGACCTACAACATGTCGAGCTTTCTGGAACGGGTCCGTCCACGAATTCTATCGCTTGAAGACGTTGATTACTTTGGAACAACTGAATACTTAAGTGGTCGAAAAAAAGAAGAATCTTTATGAGCAAAGCTTCAGCGAAACTTCGAAACTGCCTTTGGGACCCAGGTCCCATGAATGTGATAATAAGGGCGTCTTCACATGAGCCCGGTTGACCGTGGTCGAACTCTGCTAAAGGCATTTCCATGATATAGTAAATGACATCGTTAGAAGCTGTAGTGGGCAAAGACGAAGAGCCATTTGAAATCTGCCATGCAAGTCGTCGAGCGATTACCATCGAGTCCGTCGTGAAGGAATACCACCTCTTGAATATTAAACCTAATATACACAGCCTCAGACCTTTCCGATGATAATCCAGCTCCTACCAGGAAATGAGGGTAAGGTCAGAGCGACGGTGCCGTTAACTCGCCTGGCGATGAAAATCAGTCTACAATTGCGATAATCCCGCAAATCGATGATGACGACAAGGAAAACGAAGAGAAAGAAGAAGAAACAGGCAAGAGAAAATTTACACGGGGTCAGCAAGATGAAGACTGTTCTCCCAGGTAGCGACGGTGTGCAGAAGTGACACTCTGAAGTGACAGTAAGGGCGGACAGCTAAAAAAGATATTGACAGGCAATTGTAACGGAGACTACCTTTTGACGGTATTTTTGATGATTTGTGCTGTAAAGGGAAAAACGCATATGTACAGATAAGCCCAGGCTTTGATAGATTGTGCTAGCATAACACACAAACTGCGGTTACAAACATCAGAAATAACAAACGCATTGTATAACTGATGTTATTCCTTTTAAAACTGAGATGGCCAAAAACCGAGAGCATTTGTGCTGGCATTAAATTCTTTTTTGGTAATTTAATTGTCTTTATGTACCTTTTTCCAAGTAATATATCTTTAGCTGAGATGTGGTTAATAACCACCCCCCGATTGCTACACCATTTAATAACTTCTGCCAAAAAACTCTGAGTAATCTGGCAAGAGACAAAAAGGTGTTCATGGGATTCATCCGCCCCATCGCACAGAGAACATCGTGGTGATGAAGAAATACCAATTTTTTAAAAAAAATCATTGGCAGCCAGATATCTGTGTAACAATTTATATTGAAATTCACGTGACTTAGTGTCAAGGGCAACCTGGTAGGGTAAGCTGTAAATTTTTTTTCCAGTTTAAATAATCCTTTTAAAAAAAAAACATATTTCTTTTGCGCAGTTGGTTGGACAATTTCTCCGTCTCTAATTTCTTTATAGATGCCTTTTGAGTCAGCATTACTAAATAAAACTTCTTTACCAGATAAAAACAACTGAGTCTGCTCGTGAAGATCGAAAGAAACAAGGTGATCATATCCATAACACTTCAACACATGACGCCAGTCCTTCGGGAGTGCGTCGATCACTGAAAAAAGTTGAAATGCGTCCAATGGGGATAAATTTAACTCCCTAAGCTTCCTCGTTATGATTTTATTGTTCACAGCAATAAGATCCCTTATTCTTACAATTCCTTTATCTACTAATCGTTTGTTGAAAACAGTTTTACCACCAATTAAGATATAACAATTATTCCACAGAATGATCTTTGAAATATCCACTGCATTAATATTGCCTAGACTAACCTTGTTTGCTGAGAAGCATCGCGAAAAATCCTTTAAACATTCCTCATAAAAGCCCGGAAGCTTGATAGGCAGCTTTTTTACATCGAAGTTGCAGCCGAGGATAAATTTGCCTCCTATTGGTTTTAGGTAATGAAGAAGAATAATTTTCCAGCTACTAAGGTCATCACTCGCGTAGCATGAAAATTATGCTATGGTAGCATTAATTTTTGGCATAGCATAATTTTCATGTACTTCTCGGAAAAAGCACTGCTAGCATAATTTTTCACTTTTTTGGCTAGTTTTAAGGCAAAAAAATTGTCCTTTATTGATCATGCAAACAATTGTTTGACCAGAGGTAAGTGTTACCGGCAAATTTAAGCAAATTTAAGTAATCAATTTTCTGTCTTCGTGGGACCTGGGTCCCACAGGAAGTGACGAGCACTTCCCATAGGACTCAGCACATGCGCATAACTGGCTATCTAGTGTCCTTGTACAAAAGGATCGCGGCCTCTGGGAACGAGATTGGTCCGTGTGCTTATTTTTTTAGCCTCCCACGCAGGCGTTTTAAGGGGAGCTCGTTTTTTATCCCTTCCGACACATGGGAAAGGAATGTTGTTTTCGGTTGAGCAGGCGTTTGTGGGAAAGGATGATGGAGGCTAATTTTTTGTTTGAATGTTTATAGTTTTCAGAGAATGAATTAATTATGCACTCTCAAGTTTTCTACATGTAAATAAGGTAAATGTACTTGCCATTTACTTGTTTGTTGCATAGTTATTGAGGTATTTTTATCAAATTTGAAGTAAAAGTAGAAGCATAGTTTCTGCATATTTTGCTAAAATGAGTATAGTTAACAAAAACTAGCATAATAATTGGCATAATTTCAGAAAGATA